AAAAAATATAAATTAAAAAATAATATAAATAATTAATTATTTTTACTTTAATTTTTACTTTTTAAATTTAATAAAATATTATAATAAAGTTATATAAATAGAATATTTTTAAATTAGTATCTTGCTCTGGATTTAGCTATATTTATATTATAAAGTTTATTTATTAAGTTTTAACTAAGTACCTATATAGCTATAAAACGTATCAGGTATGGTAATATATAACTTCCAAGGCTTATTATTAAACTGCGATTTTGTTAGTTGAATTGCTGGCATTAAAGCCGCTAAAATGATACGCACATTTTAGCGGGGGGTATCAAATTCATCCTGGCGATCAAGTCCCGTCAACTCCACCGAGTCTCTGATTATCGGGTAACTTCGAAATTTCTTCTAGAACATATCCATCTATATTATCGAATCCCCCGAAAGCTGCGTTGATCCGTAGTATCCCGTGGGGAGGAAGTTATCTGAAAGTTTCGACGGGCAAGATGGTCTGTTCACATTCAAGATTTTTTTAGTCAAGCATACCTAGACACATGGTTGACTGATTTTGCTCTTGCAGGTTCACGCTGATGCATCAAACTTTGCCGACGGCGTAACAAAAGAGGACGCCTATGAACAAGTGCTCTGGCAGGCCGAGGGCCTGACCACTGACCAGCGTAACTGGGTTCGTCAAACACTCGATCACCGGAACTATTGGACTTACCCTCTAACTCATTCTTTGTAACAGGTCTGGTATGGACATTGAGAGCTCGCTGTTCCAGGCCATGGTTAACAGTTCAACAGTAACCTTTCAAATGCTGCCTCTCTGTTGTGGCACGCATATAAATCTTTGGAATCACCGAGCAAGGATGTGAACTGGGCTGGTATGTTACAAACCCCAAGATCCAGACACAAGCAATAACGACGACATGTTGTGTGTGTTCAACTACAGGCTTTTACGTCCTTGACAAATCATCTCAAGATCCGCAGCTCATCCTGGGGCCCTTCCAGGGAAAGGTTGCCTGCCAGACCATCAAGTTCGGCAAAGGTGTTTGCGGAGCAGCGGCAGCGACCCAAGAGGCACAGCTAGTCCGAGACGTGGAGGAGTTTCCGGGACATATTGCTTGTGATGGAGACAGCAAGAGTGAGATCGTCGTGCCTATTACGGTGACCCAGGATGATGGTTCGAAGAAGCTGGTGGCTATCATCGACATCGACTGCGCTGAGCTGAACGGTTTTGACGAGGTTGACAAGACCCATCTCGAGCAACTGGCAGCTCTCCTTGCCAAGAGCTGTGACTGGTAGCGATATTATGCAAACGCAACAAGATAGAACTACCAACGTCGAAATTGTCCGGGATTATTCGTAGATGCTCCTTCTCCTCGTTTGGACTAGAGGTCATTGCTAACAATACTGCACATCTGTTGTTGACCCAATTCTGTTTCTTAAGTACCTTAGGTTCCCACTTATATAAAAAACGGAGACAGGGCAGTGGTGAAAGACAAAACCTCGGAGCGCCACAGCATGCCTCTTGCGTGAAACATGGACATGCTGCCGTCGGCGTAATTGGAGTGATGATGGATTAACTACGTACTCTGTAGTAGTTCAAGAATTCATACTCGAGACAGCAGGGGTGTGACACTATGCCGTTATCTCCCATGGCAACAGGGCACCTTTTAACGCCGCAAACATTCTGCGACATCAAACCCGATCCGGTATCATGATGATGAAAGGCTGAAATAAGTTGTTTCTAGCAAATTCAGCCAGCCAAGGAACAGGATGATGCAGAGTCTAAGTTAGTGGCATCAGTCAGTGGGTCAATCGGTAGAGCCGATCTCGCCAGGGACATTGTTCCAATTGGACCCGAAGTTGAGGACCGTTAATTCAACATCAAGGACCAACTAATGAAAGAGTGACATGCTCGTGAGGAGCAGGGGTCTTTCAACGTCAAGCCCATTATCCCGGTTCTGCTTTTGGGTTTAAGGGCGCCTCAGCGGTTTGCCCTTGGGCCCGCAGTCTAGATGGGCCTCTGGAGCGCGCGCACGATCATGCTTTCATAAGGTCCTGAGGCTGGTTCCTGTTTGCTTGAGCGGGATTGCTCGATTTGCAAAATCGATACGGTAAACGAGCTTGGTCGGAAAAGCCAAATAACCAAGGCCGTACCCGATTATGGTCTGAGCACTTAACCAAGGGATGTCAGGAGATCCATGACCATTGTTCATCCAAGTTAGGGATATTATGTAGCAATATGGAATGAATCGAGCGAGTAGAACGTCAACGTCAGCCTAAGGCTTGGCAATCGCGAGTCCGAGGGAGTCTGTATCTGGAGGATTGGATGTACGCAATAACTGTGTGGCTGTGGCCATGACTTCGCCAAACACGCGCGTACCACTTCCATTTTCTACATATTCCCGAATGTGGTGTGGTGAATGAGTAAAAGGAAGGCAGTGCAGCCATTGGAGGATCATGAGTTCAGCTCCAATGGTCTCTCTTAGGGCGAGGCGAGCTGGGTAACGTATTCGGTCGAAACCATTGGGTCTGCCCGTCTTCGTGCCTGTTCCTGAATTGTCCAAGGGACGGGAGCCACTTCACCTCAGTCATTCCGTCCCTGAATGATCCATGATCCCCTGAATCGGACGAGAGCGGGAGGTCGGAAGAGACATCGGCATCGGCATTGCATTGCGTTGATACATATGATATACCCGTAGACTCTGCCCTATCATGACGCGACCTCACCTCACCGTCTGGGCTGCTTGCCATCCGCCATCCAATTGTCACTATCAACAACTGCCAAGGACCCAATCCCCTGGACGCGCCAAAACTTTAGAACTCCCCCTGTTAATCTGGGCATAGATTCCCTGTAAATCCCCCAGAGCTGTTTGGCGAATAAGCGGCTGTAGGGGTAGATTCATCCCCTGCACCAGTTGCACCAGCCTCCCCGTTTCCAGCCCAAGCCCAGCCTCCCGTCAGAGGCTCCACTCGAATTGTTCCACAGAGCCCCACTGGACTACCGCTTTCGGCCCCCAACCACACGCAAGCCAGACGTATACAACGTCTTGCTATCCTGCTTCATCGCGTTCTTGTTCATTTGTCACAGAGAGAGAAGATTTCTTCCTTCTCTTGCTCTCGACACACACTCTCTTGAACCCCAAGGGCTTACTAACCTCACAGCTTCTCTACATCATTCTGGATTGCCCAGGCTCTCAAGAGCAATCCGGCTTGGTGCGGTTTCTGGTCGCGAGCTGCTCTCTGTCTATCATTCCGTCATCGCTCTAGCTGCATTACTCGGCCTGTTTTGTTTTCCAGTCTTGACTCGATTGATTTCATACCCAACCCAAACACTCCGGAACGGAAAGTTTTCTATTCGAAAGTTTAATTCCACCTCATTCTCGAATTTCTTCTAGCCTCGCCTGGTTCTGTCAGTCAACGCCTTCGGGTTCGTTTCAAACCTTACCCTTCGCATTCTCAACTCTTCATTTGCTGGTCTTGCCCATATCTTTGTTCGATTCGATTTCTCTACTAGGCGTCGCCTTCGTTTCACGCTATTCCATTAGTCGTTCCTGACACCAACCCAACTTTCGAGCTACCCAAATCGAGCTATCTCTGGTCAATAGGTGCAATTGTTGATGTAAACAAACCCGGCCTGGATTTAGCAACCACCTCATTCTTTGACCCTCCCACTGCTTTCTCACTCGGGCGCTGGTGGGTATAGCTGTAATGGCAGCCAAGGTCAAGAATCTTATGAGCGCAGCGCACACTGCGGGCATCTTTGCCGACATTGCGGTGGACGGCCCAGAGATTGGAACCCTGGTCGCTATCGTCGATCGGGCCAAGAACTTACCGAATCGCAAGACGATCGGGAAGCAGGACCCTTACTGCGCAGCCAGATTAGGAAAGGAAGCCAGAAAGACAACGACAGATGTCAGAGGTGGACAGACACCAAAATGGTAAGATCTAGCAGCACCCGCGGAGCTAATCGAAGGCAAGTTGAGACTAATCGGTGCTATAGGGATCAAGAACTTCGTTTCACAGTCCATGACTGCCCGGATTACTACCAACTCAAGCTATCCATCTTCACAGACGATAAGCGGACAGACCTGATTGGAGAGTCCTGGATAGACCTCAGAGGAATCATTGTGCCTGGGGGCGGCCAAAATGACTTTTGGCAAACATTAACTTGCAAAGGCAAATATGCTGGAGAGATTCGAGTTGAAATCACTTTCTACGATACTCGACCAAAGCCAGACAAGCCTGCACCGAAACAAAAGCAGATTGCATCCAGCGAACCCGACCAGGGATCTGTCAAGCAAAGAACGCCCGTTAAAAGGCGTCCTTTGCCTTCCGATCCTGTTACTGGTGAGGCTCCGGCTGTAACTCCTCCAGCCCCTGTTCCAGCTCCAACAACAGCACCTCAGCCAGCTCCCTTAGCGGCGCCTACAGCAACACCTACTGGTCCTGATCATCGTACGCCTCTACGAACTCACGGAAAACAAGCCTCACACTCAGGAAGCTTTGTTCCAACACAGTCCCCCTTGCAAGCTGTCGAGTACAACACACCGCCGTCACACTCATCGCGCCGTCACACGGAGCAATATCCCCCATCTCCACACGGGTCTGTTCCACAGGAGTATATGACACCAAATCGAGAGGCACCCCGCCAGTCGCGGAGGTCGATGGTTCCGTATGAGGGAGCTCACCAGCAGTACGATGAGCGGGAGTATAGCCCAAGATACACACCACAACAAGAGCTGATGGACCCCCGAGTTCAATACTCTCCTCAACCAGATCAGATGGATTCTCGAGGCCATTACTCTCCCCAACAGGACCCTTATCAGCAGCCTCCGCCATTATCTGATGATCCCAGGCAGTACTCGCCAGTAGAGAATGAACGTCCTCCACCACCACCCGCCCACAGGAGCAGACACAACAGCACGGGCCAGGAACTTGTGCCGAGAGGAAGCTTCGATACGTCACCAAACAAGATGCCACAGATGAGACATGACGTTTTGAGACATGAAGCTCAGAGACAATCAATGGTGGCTTATCCTGGACGCCCGGCATTTCGGGCATATGATTCAGCCCCTGCCACCAATCAAACCACCCCGCCAAACACAAATAGCTATGATGGCCTGCCGAGACATAGCTCTTATGACGCCAGTTATGATCCCCATTACAGATCTATGCAGCCCACAGTTGAGGATGTTCCTGAAGCCTCGGGCCCACCTGGTCAGAACTTTACCCAAAATGGCTCACAGTTCCAGCGTTCCGATGAGCTTTGCTTCGATGACAACCCCAGCCCTGCACCTCTCGTCCTGCGGCGATCTCCTGCTCCGGCCCCGGCTCCATTCCGGGACGATTACTCGCCATCGCACGTCCCCCAAGATTACCACAACCCTGAGGACTGGCAGGTGACAGTGTCACCATCTCATGGTCGAGGCTATTCAAGAAGCGCCGGAGATAATTCCTATTACCCCCAGAATGGCCACGGTCATTACCAAGGCCACTCGACTGACATGACTGTCGCGCATAGGCAAAACCCACATAACTATGCCCCGCCACCTCTCCCAGCAGCTCTCGTGCCGGGTTTGGATGCAAACCAGTCTCAGGAATTGACGGATCTCATATACGAGGACCGCCGACACGACCGAAGGCAGCATTCTCAGAGCATGTCTAGCATGCACACGCCTCCTCGAGGACGCCCGAGGAACGAGTCGTTCCAAGAATATAACCAACCGCCACCCGAACATGCTTATGCTGTTCAGCCGTACAACCGGCGGGCAATCACTTACAACCCGCCGGAGCAACAAATCGTAAAACCTCGAGCCATATCACCCGACCCACGCACAAGCCCCAACACTCAACACAGGATCAAGCGTAAATCGGTCAGCCCTGCGCCACCACTCGAAGATCAGAGGAGAAAGTCAGATATTCCTTTTGGACCAGACTCGTATGATGCATTGAACCCCAGTCTTGTTTCGTCCAAAGACGGAACAAGCCCATCACCGGATTTCCTGGACGAGGAGCCAAAGAAAATCATCACATACGACGGACGTGAGATTGATCCTTCTGACCATCTTCCTATGGAGACATGGGCCCCTGAACCGGAGAAGAAGCAACCGGAGTCTACCCCCACCGAAACACGCTCGCGACCTCCGTTATCAGGGGCGCAACCAATGCCTCCAAGCACTCGAAGGGCACCTCGTAGTGGGCGTCATTCGATGTCCGCCGTCAATCCATCTTATTCATTCTCCGACGAACCACGCACACCCCCACAGGCCGGTCGCACCCGTCTTCAGAAGCGCACTAACCGCACTTCGGCTGGCAACTCCCCAGCAGCCTCTAGCCCCCTGGCTCTAATTTCTAAGGATAATCACCAGGAGAGGGCTCCATACGGAAATGCTTCGCTTCGCGGCCTACCCCGTGCAGGAACATGGGACTTTGAAGACGAGAATCGGGGTGCATATGGTGGTCCTCCCATTCCAGCAAAGATCCCTCTGCCCATGATGAGCGGTGCCAACGGCACAGGGCAGGAGTTAGCATTAGTGCAGGAAATGCAGCGAATTGATATAGGGACAGGTAGGTCCCGACGCAGGGGAGGATACTAAGTCAACGAAGGTAACGAGACCTAGAGGGAATGTATAATATTATATCCACGGTAGTGCTGATTTCGGCGTTGGAATAAGGCAACATTTGGGAGGATACGTAAGGTAATGTTGGAGTTCTATGCATTCATATCAAGAAAATTGTTCAAAATTAGAAACCAATCCTCATATATATACCATTAGATTTATTTCATTCAACGGCCACCAAGCATAAGGACTAGACTACGCCATATGACAAAGGGTCTAATGATGAATCCTTTTTGTAGAAGCTCTATACAAATGAACACCTCAGAGTACCCAAAGTAAGATATCTATAATACCTATACTTACCACTTACGTTCCCTCTTAGCTGACATCGTATCTCTATTAGATGTGCTCAGGTTTTTTCGTCAGGAGACAATCGCAAGAAAATTATATGGGTCTACAGGCAGTGGAGCTCATGCTAAACGATATTAACCTAAAATAGTCAGTGCCCCACCCAAAGCCATCAAGTACCTAGGTACCTTGGCAATCAGAATTTCTTTATCTTATCAGGCTCTGGAAAAAAATCATGGCGACCTTCAAGGCAGTTGAATTCTAAACACCACCACTGTGAAAGCCCGCCATCGCGATACTCGACAATGGCTGCTCAGGTGGGACCTCTGCCACAGCTTAGGCTGCCTTCGGGCCCTACGCCAATCACTGCGGAACAGCGATACTGGAAGACCTTTAAGAACCAGCTTCTGATTCCGTCACCAACATCGTATCCCGTCGTTCACATCTCGGCCAATAACGATTCTTTCGCAGTCACCACAGGCACACGCATTCAGATCTACTCGAATCGAACGCGCAAGCTTCAGAAGACTATTACACGCTTCGGAGACGTTGCACGTAGCGGTGAGATCAGGAAAGATGGAAGGGTACTGGCGGCTGGTGATGATACGGGAAAGATTCAGGTCTTCGATGTCAATTCTAGGGCGATCCTCAAGACATGGACGCAGCATAAGCAGCCAGTCTGGACAACCAAGTTCTCACCGACTGAGCTGACGACCTTGTTGAGCGCAAGCGACGATAAAACTGTGCGACTTTGGGATCTCCCAAGCAACGACCCGACGACTACATTTGTTGGTCACTCAGACTATGTTCGATGCGCCAATTTCATGCCTGGCACTATGTCCAACATGATTGTCTCTGGAAGCTATGACTCGACCGTCAAGCTTTGGGACCCCCGAGCAGGAAGCAACAGCGCGGTCATGACTTTCAAGCACGCTGCGCCTATTGAAGACGTGCTGTCTATGCCCACCGGAACCGCAGTTCTTGCAGCTGCGGGTGAATCGATCAGTGTTCTCGACCTTGTTGCCGCGCGCCCTCTGCACATGATTACCAACCACCAGAAGACAGTCACTTCTCTCAGCCTCGCGTCCAATGGTCGACGACTTGTCAGTGGTGGCCTTGAGGGTCATGTTAAAGTCTTCGAAACGACTGGATGGAACGTTGTCTCGAGCACCAAGTATCAATCTCCTGTCCTCTCTGTCAAGGTTATCACGTCTAGTGATGATGCCGATTCTAGCGACCGACATCTAGCAGTCGGTATGCAGTCTGGTGTTCTTAGTGTGCGAACCCGCCTCACTGGAGCTGAGGCCAACAGAGAAGCCGAACGGGAGAAGGAAATGGCTGCTCTGGTTGCTGGAACCATTGAAGCCCATGACGCCAAACGTAAGAAGCGGAAGAGGAGAGTTACTGCTGCAAAGAAGTTGGATATGGTCGGCGAGGGGGCCGATGTTGTTATCGCAAACGAGTCTCGCGCCTACAAGAAAAAAGAGCGCCCGTGGCAGAGTGACCTACGACATGCTCGGTATGCGCGTGCACTCGATCAAGTCCTCGACAAAGACTCACCTGAGCATTCCCCCCTCAACGTGCTTACCCTACTCCTGGCCCTCCGCCATCGCAGCGCTCTGCAGGATGCCTTGGAGTCTCGAGACGAGCACACAGTTCAGCCCATCTTGAAATGGGTTTGCAGCCATATCTGCGACCCCCGATATATTAGTGTCTGCGTAGAAGTTGGTCTCCACCTTCTCGAGCTCTACGCAGAGTTTGTTGGTGGTTCAGCAGAGCTGCATGAAGGCTTTAGGACTTTACACCGCCGAGTTAGGGTCGAGGTGGAGAGAGCCCAGGTAGCATGCCAAACCGGGGGTATGCTCGAGAGTCTGATGGTCGGGACCCTCTAATGGATAGGCACGAAGCGTGTGGTATTATATCCCGAGGTTGTTGGCTCAGTTTGCATTGCGCGTGGCGTTACGGCGGATTAAAATGGGAGTATCTGGATGTGAACGTAGTACGAGGCTTAGGCTTGCACTTGGAAGAGCGGCTAAAAGGATTGAATGTTAGGAGTGTGAGGTTGATATTCCAGGAATCGCTATATCTACGCCATACGACTTATTCACTCTGGTGCACACCGCGCTTAGATATTTGACTTGGTTTGATCACATTCGGTTTCTTGTATGTGTTTGTGTTTTGAGTACAGCATTTGTATGCCATCGGCATGTGTAGCTACATATATCCTTCAAGAGACCGACCATCTTTTCAATGGCTTCATCCCCAAGCTCAGGCCACCGGCTCCCAATATGTTCCAATAAGTCCACCCAAGTCAGAAGTTGTCTTATGCCTCGGGTCCAGGTAAGCAAAGTAAGGCATCAGCCTGGTATTGGAACAATATGTTTGCCATATTTGCTAAATTGTATTTGGGCCTGGATGAATCGCCAGCTGGTAAATCACTGGCAAGCAACCCCCCCCTGACTTTACAAGCCCGCTTCTTCCCCATTTTCTTCTTTTTCTTTTGGCCTCTGCTCCGTAGTTTTTTTTTTTTTTTCGTATCTCTTCTTTTATTTACTTCTGGACTGATCCCTCAAAGCAAAACAGTCAACAGCCTTATTGTCATGGGCCTTGAGAACGACATAAGGATCCTCCGAAACTCGTATTTAGAGCAGAGAATTCTTGCACTCGGCAGGGGGGATCTACTAGCCAGGAGCTTCCTGTAGTCCACGAAGAGTTGGTGCGGTACTGCCTCTGAGGCGAGGATTGGTTTCGATGGCAGGTTTTTCTCGCAACGCTTCAAGAGCACTATCTGATCTACCATGATAGGCGGGCTCTTAGCTCTTGCTTGCTTTGTATGATGCGGAGCAATTTCTCGATGAATTAAGGCGGAGAGAGAGAGAAAGTAGCTTTGATGTTGTCTTCTCTAGAAACTTTCAGAATATCTTTTCGCATGAAAGCCGCCTCGAATACGAACTAACTCGCCGAATTCTGATTAAGGATATTGCGACATCGTTGTCTTCTCCTCTTCGGAGCCAAACGACGATGACCAGGACGTCTATGGTATCAAGGCCGACGGTACCAACACTGCTCACTGGGTTGCTCATTATCTGAATCCTCATGTTGCTGAAATGGTGCCTGATGACGGAGCGCCTGTTACCTTTTCCCTACACGCTGAATATCGCGAATGTGTCCCTCCAAAGCATGCCCTTTCTGCCAAGCAGGTTGGCCATATCACTCGCAACATCACCAACGCCCTTCTGCCTCGCTGAAGAGAAAGTCTCCTCTCCTTGGCACAACAGGGACACGAAAATAGTCAAAACCACTGTCTCTCAACAGGTTCTTGATATTTTCCAGCATGTCCATGGCAACAAGGGTTTTGGCGTTCCTGGCATTGATAGTCCGGCACCGAAGTTCCAGTCCAAGGTTGGCCAGTCAGTTGAGCTCGAATCGGCTCAGAAATATAATAAAATATTTACGATAAACTGTCCTAAAGTCACCCTAAAGTGATCCTAAGACTATCCTAAGCTAATTATGAATTTATAGCTTTTCTTTTTTTTTTTAGAAGAGCCTTATGGCGATGGAAGCCGCTGATCCGGGATGTCAACGATGCCACAATCGCGAAGATTAAGGCCCATAGAGCGATGTGCGCGCAGAGAATGGGCCGCTCCTTGATCACTTGCAGCCCCCTTCACTTGGAGTTTCGATACTAACGAATGCTGGGTTTGATATGACTGGGAAATGGGTTTATTGGTTGGTATTACAGGGATACTGACCACATTTGAGATTTTTGAGACTCGGATTTCTTTTTCCTTTTTCTGTTTTGTTCCTTCTGTTTGCTGGGTTTTGTTTCTTTGCGATATCATGCTTCCGGTCAAAAGGAAATGGGTCGAAATCGGGTTCCTTTCGCAAGAACGACAAAATGGGATAGCACAGCACTCATTTCGGGAATGGGAATATCACTTCGGGTAGCATTGAGAATCAAAGGGTCGTTAACGACTATGAATTCCAGGACCATAATACGGATACTGACTGCTGTCATCTGAAGTGGCATAGGCAAATACATGCCTTGCCTAAGGTACCATGCTTGACGTTCTTACATCACAGTCAGGAGATGAAGCACTACGTGAACAATATGCATCACGACACCCCAAAAGATATGTATGCATGTGTACATATTAGTTAGCATACCAACTGACTATCCGTAATCCTTTGTACCTGTTCACCGTTTTCTATCTATAAAAAAAACTCATACATATCTTGACAATCCATCTGCCCTTCACCAGACACCATCGTCAGCGCTACCATCAGCAGTTCTATCATCGTCAGATCCATCGTCGCCCGCCTGATCCTGCTCGTCAGTCTCAACATCCTGGACGTCCTGGTCCTTCTTGACCTTACGAAGCTCTCGCATAGCATTGTGAAAGGCCTTGCGCATAGCGTCCTTGTGTTTGTGGGGCTTAGCAAACGCTTCCTCCCGAGTGGTGCTGTTCTTCTTGGATCGCCTGGAGTCGGAGAAGTCGACACGCGGAGGCTGCAGAACATCTCGCTGAATGCCATCGTCAGCAGTGATCGGTTTGGACGCGGATGTCGAGATCTCGTCCTCCTCCGCGCGAGGACAGTTGCGAGTCGCATGGGATGCTCCATCGCACCGAACACACTTCGGCTTGAATGTGCACTCGTTAGCGAGGTGACCGGGCTGACAGCAGTTCTGGCACATCAAGTACCAACGGCAGCGGTTCCTGAGATTTATGACAGCACTTCGTTCCTCGAGGAAAGCAACGAGGTGGTTCAAGGGCCACTCAAGGGGAGTCTTCCCGCCCGGACCAACCACGAATTGGCCAAGACGAGCACGAGTCATAGAGACATTCGTGCGAGGGGCCTCGCTGATGAAACCCTTCTTGACGGTGCGCACCAAGTCGAGGATGACGACATCCGCTTCATGACTGGGTGAGTCGTCAACAGTTCGGACTTCAACCAGATCCTTAGGGACTTCGGCCTTGGTCAGGTGTCGCAGCAAGAGTTCATACAGACGCTTTTGCTCTCTCTATGGAGTCAAGATGAGAACAGATGCGCCCTTGGAGAAGTCACGAGCGTCGACGAGAGCTGCGTCTCGATAGAGCTGGACGACGAGCTGCATCGCGAAGTTGGCGTTGGCGGGGTTTGCGTAACTGTTTCCGGTCTTCAACTCTTTCAGCGTTGTCAGGTCGAATCATCACAGTTGTCGAGAGACAACCAAATTTCTTGAACTTCTCCTCCATCCAATTGTGGAACTTTTTGCTGGCTTCAGAGTGATTTCGGTGAGCTATACTCATGTTGCCACCATAGAACATTGTTTGAGCCCACGAGGCAGCGTTGACACGTGCACGATAGTTTCGACTCCGGCGGGCTAGGATTCTGCCGGCATCCTCCATACGATGAAAAAGGCTGGTCTGCCTCTGGTAGGAGAAGACAGCCTTGAAGTCACGCTGTTTAACAGTGAGTGCGATGGGTGGGAACTGCTGAGTATCGCCGATGTGTATACAGAATGCAGGCTGCCATTCAGCCTGGGGGGCCAGGGATAGGTTCTCGGTGAGTCGAGCCGCTTCATCGACGACAATCAGTTGCGGGACGAAATCCGTATGCCGAACAAACTCAACCAGAGCAACTGGAGTTCCGACAACAATGTCAACTTGTGAGATTGCATGCTCCATTAATTTGCGGAACTCAGACTGATTCTTGACGCGGTTCATGGCAAAGGCATCGGGGTCCTTCTTCTTCTCGTTCCATGCTGCGATAACACCTGACCAAGTTTGCTTAACAGCTTACGCAATGCCACGAGCGTACTCTGAGAGAGATGCGAAGACACATGACGGGTGGCTGTTCTCAAATTGTCGAGCTCGGAAGGCGTCGAGGTGGTCAGCCATTGCCAGGTCGACATTGGAGGCGAGATAGTGAGTCTCGGTCTCAGTCACGGCAGGTTTTGCGTCAGTTACGCGTTGGAGATTGGAGAACTCTCGCTTCCATGGTAGGACTCGGACAACCAGCTTGTCAGGGCAGGCCTCGGTTGCTCGGCGAGCAGCATTATCCACCAGTTTGTTCTGGCCTGCAGTCCAAGCAACCTTTGCGGAAGTAGGAGTAGGTTGAGATTCAGCTGACTGACCTGCGTTGGACTGGAACTTTGATGCCTTTTTATACTCATCAGGCGCTGGGTCATCGTACTGGGTGATAGGAGCCACAGGTGGCTGATTAGTTGGATCATCCAGACCAGGAACGCTATAACCCTCAGGGCCATAGATATCCTGGACAACTTCAAAAAGCTGTTAAGCGACAAGGGGTGCAGACGCAGCGGGAGGGGCGGACTGGTCCCAAGCAGACTCCTCAGAAGTGGGCTCTGTGGTGGGAGGAATCTCATCTACATGCGGAGCAGATACCGATGGGGCCAAAGACAATCCAGAGAAGTGGTTATAGGATGTTCCATGCAACTTGATGGCGTTGTCATTGTGAATCCAGATGGTGTGGCAGCCTGGCGATGCAAATATCGGCATCGACGTAGGCGGGTTTCCCTCAACCACAATCGCGAGCTGGAGTGGAATGCTGCCTTCGCGTTCGCTCCAGTGTTTAGAACGCAAGCAAGTTCATCAACCGACATGTTGGATAAGCCGCTACCCTGAGAAATTGCCATCATCTGAGTATATTTTGGGCTATCCACAAGGGACCGAAGGTCATCAACTGAGTTTGGCGCCGCGGCACCTTCTGGCATCTGATGTTGCATGCTTTTGATTAGAGCGTACAACCCGCACTCGATGTTACGACCACTCCGGTCGGAAGGACGCGGTAGGCCAAGGGCAGAGTGGTGTCATCACAGATGTCAAATGAATGAGCGCTAGTGACGTGCCCTTGTTCAAGTTTATCAGCATCAGGACCAACAGCCAGGCGAGAGACAGCTGAACAGAAGGAAGCTTCTGAGCAAGTGTCGTCATCATCGACGTCCAACCAGCCAGTGGAATCAGGCCTGTTGGAGATGACAGACTCAGGCTTGTCAGCAACAGTGAGCTTGGGTTCATGCTCCCGAGTCTCGCCAACACCGCCAGAAACGATAGCAGTTACGAGCTTCATGGCAGTGGTAGTCTTTCCTGAGCCAGGACCACCAGTGACAAAGGCGAGTCTCCTTGAGGCTTTCCACTAGAGTTGCAACCTCACTATCAAATTCTCCTTCATTGTAAGCACGAGCGAGGCCAGGGAACTTGACATGAAAGCTAAGCATCTGAGGCTCAGCTTGGAAGTTATGACTATACTTCCAGAAGCACTCTTAATCCGTATACATCACTCGAGATACTGCAAGATACACGATCATATTTTGTCATGCAAGATAATTCATTAATATTCATTAAAGAAATGCTGCCATACATATCCATAAATCATGATTAAGCCCTCAATTCCTGTTTACAGACCTCGATGAGTCTCTTGATGAGTGCTGCTGTGTCGTCGGCTGTGATCACTATGAGGATCATCATGAGCAATCTCAGTGGGAACATGCTTCTGCAGAACAGAAGGAGGAACCTGAGTAGCATCGGTAGGATCCCGGCCGGCGAAGTTGTTGTTACTGTTGGAGAAAATTGGTGTCAAAAAAGTGTCGTTGCACGAGGTACCGGGACATGCCGCTGGAAAGACTTACGACTGCTGGAAAGTCTTGTCTTTGCCAAGAGTTTTGCTACCGTCAAGGTCGCTATCCACCTTTGGATCAAGTTTGTTGGCCAAATCACTAGAATGGGGGCCAGCGGTTTTCGGAGCAGGTCCAGGTCCGGTGCCGGTGGTAGAGCCATATGTACCGGTAGAGCCAGTTCCACTCAAACCGGAGGTGTGAGTGGGGCCGTGTGCACCGGCTCCGTGGCTGGAGAAGCCAGAAGTTCCAGTAGTAGTCTGGCCGTAGGTGCCAGAGTTACCGCTGAGGCCGCTCTGGTTGCCGTGGGTGTTGGAACCACCAAGTCGTCGAGATCCGTCAAGATCACTATCCACTTTTGGATCAAGTTTGTTGGCCATATCACTGGAATGGGGTCCAGCAGTGTTACTAGGACCAGTGCTGTAACCAGCAGATGTACCCCCAATGCCACCTTGAGTACCTGCACCGTGGCTTGAAAGACCCGAAGTTCCAGTAGTCTGGCCATAAGTGCCAGAGTTGCCGCTAAGGCCGCCAGACGTACCCCCGATGCCACCATGAGAGCCAAGGCCACCAGCAGTGGTATGGCCAGGCATGTTCTCAGTGCGTCCGGAGGTAGTGTGACCAGGCATGTTCTCAGAGTAGGTAGAGCCTCCAGTCAAGCCACCAGCTGTGCCAGTGTTGTGGGTGGAAGATCCCAGGCCGCCAGTGGTTGTAGTGCCAGGGTTCGCACGGTGGTCTCTGTCCGAATCGTATCGAGGATCAGCGGCATTGGCAACACGAGAATGAGTTCCCTCAGGCTGCTCGTGGGACTTGTCCTTGTCGGAGTGGATAGCTTCCTTGACCTTGTTGATGAGACCAGACATGATGGATGTAGTTTTTAAGTTGTTGTTGTGGGTGATTGGGTATCTTGAAGGTGATGAGCGGGAGTTGAGTTAAAGTAAAGATGCTTGGGTATCTTTGAATGCTGTGATTTGATGATGAGAAGAAAGACAACCTCTGGGGAGAGATATCGTGAATCTTATATAGTTGCAGATTGTTATCCCGGGAGCCTCAATCTCGATGCCATCCTCAGCAAACCTGGCAGGCCCAAACTCTTTCGATCCTCAGATCTCGCTCGCTTCACCCCTCCACCGATGTTTGGAGAAGTCTAGCCCTGAGCTTGGCGACGATTGGTGAAGGCTTGTTGCAGGGACAATGTAGCGTCATGCCATGTGAGATATGACGTTGACGAGGAAGAAAGCAACAATCAATAACAAGCATCGAACATCGGATTTCTTGCTCTTCCAATGCGCCAAGCTCATGCTGTGGAGCAGGAGGCGGGATGTGAAAGGGAATGACGAAGGGGCTCCGTGGCTTGAAAGTGAGATCTACAAGAAGATGATGCAAAGCTAGAGCCTGTGGCGTGTATCATGGCTGTGATGCGTGGCGTCAGCTACCCCGGAAGGTGACAGAAAACGGCGAAATTTAGTGACCCTTTTAGCGCAGTTGACAGTGGAAGCGAGCTCTAATGTTTTTTGTCCGGATAGGCCACCCCCCAGCTCTCAAACCAAGCTACCCCGCGCTCACAGGCTCAAAGTTGGCAGCAGGTCCCACTAGCCACCAAGGCAACCTAAGTAGGTAGGTACCTAGGCAAAATGACGACAAGAGAAAGGCCGTTTTTCCGGTCCAACGGACGAGACAAAGAAATCGATTTATGACAGCATTGATGCCTCTTCAGGCCTTGAACCGGCTGGGCCAAGAGTTCTTCTTCTGGCCATGGCCGCTCTAGAACCTCTGTAACACGACTAAAACCAGGATCACGAGGTCCCACAGTGACGGGAATATCCAGCCCTGAGTCGCGCAGACTAAGGAAGCTCTGTTATGCGGAATGCTGCAGGCTTGCAAGTAAGCCTCGTAACTCTGCCCCTGTGCCTAGGACGGGACTAGGGTTATTTCTGGTCGCAAATCTCGATGATCATGGAAACAAGACGGACGGACAGTAACAGTTGACGCGGTTAGGCACATCTCCTGCATGATAATCAGGTCGGCCAGAGGAAGATCAAACAGGTAAGAAGAGGCGTGTGACCAATTCTCACTCATCTCATGAATGGACCGTACGGCATAGGTGCTGGATACTGTGCTGCGCGTACAAAATGGATAACACTCATCAGGAACTTCAAATCAGATTCCATTGTCCAATTTGAGTTGCAGATCATGACACCGTTCCCCATTGTTTCATGTTTGAAATCTTCTTTACATTCGTACAGATGACGTCGAAATACATTAAGAGCAGCCGACTATTACAAGATACTGTATGTATTAAATATACCCACGTTGATCGATATACATAAACGAGACAAAAATAGTAGCAAAGTATACATTAATTAATTTCAGTACCCCAGTAAGTAAGTAAGCACAGTATGTAAGGACTTGTTGTGACCGTCAATCGTATCAAAGGGTATCCAGATCCGCTCAGCTTCACGTTGCTTGCTTTGCCTTGTCCAACGCCAAGTTCCAACTCAAACGACAACGAAAAGAAAAACAAGGAAATCATCCACCCATCTCACGTATTAGTTCCCACCCGACACGGCATTTCGGAATGTTGCACGCAATCCAATCATGTCGCCGAGGCCAACAAATCGACAACTGAGATGTTGCTCTGCTTTGCCTCGCAAGCAGTAGCCAGTAACCCTACCCTCCCAAAGGTTCTTCAGCAGAGCTACGTAGAGTGCTTCACGCCTAACTGCATCTGCACTTAGACACGGCTGCGGAACCAGGGGCCCCGGCGGCGGTTATGGTGAGCCGCCTCAGCACGGGCAACGGTACGCTCACGTCGACGCACCCAGAAGAAGCCTACGAGAGCCGAAACAAGCCAGAGAAGTGCCGAGAGGAAGCTAAAGGCGATCACGGCTTTGGTCTTCCCACACTGATCTCCGTGAACTGGATGCACGTTGTCCCAGTCAAATACACGGCCGCAAGAGTTTCCGATGAGCTTTTTGAGTGCCGTTAGTGCATGTACAACTACCGAGAGAAGGTAGAGAGAGTAGAGTAACAAACAAGGCTGTGACTTACATCGACGAGCAAACCAAAGACGATCCACCAGTTGATGGACATGAAGATGTCCAGAGGCCAGTGGACAAAAGTGCTCGAGAATGGAATGAGGAGCAGCAAAGAGAACAACATTCCCAGTGCGGCAACGACTTCAGTATAGATGAACCGGCCGAGCTGCCATGAGCTTGCGCCGCGGGCATTGTGCAGGTATTCGCCATTGACGCCTGCAACGATGGCTGCAAATACCAGCTCTGCAGCACGCAGAATCAAGCTGACGACACGATCGAGAGCCATGGCTACTTTGCAGGAGAGGTTTGGTGTAGTAGGGTTGTAATCCTCTGGTTGAAGTTGAGGTTTATGATGTTCTATCTGTCTTTTCCTTACAACCAAGCCTTGGGACGAGACTCGTTATTTATCTAACTAGATACAAGGTAAATATCCAGCAATACAACTCACGGGTTTCTCTACCACATGACGATGACGCCCCTCCCTCAACAAAATAAAATCCAATGAAGCCTGTTTGAGATCGTTTTCTTGGCCCTGAAGCTCTTTGACACGTCTACCGTGGCTCATAACAGGTCGCCAGCACAACGAGTTGCCAGATGAGGTCATGCGGACCAGGCTTCAGCTAAGGTGTGGTGAGCGTGAACATCTGCCATTCGACAGTCCTCACCTTGTATCGCAGCCCGACAAGGACCCCTTCTCTGTTCTGAAACAAAAATGATGTCGCAGGCCAAGGCACTTTTTCTTCTTCTTTTGGTCCGACTGGACAATTTCTGAGCTTCTGAGTCTTGGAAGAAATCATAGCTTCAGGTGCCGAGATGCCGCCAATCGTGCCACGCATCATGCCAAGAAGGCTACCCTTGAGCCGCTTGCATCGTCCAAGGCTCTTATTTCGTGACGACCTCACGAATAAACCAGAATTCAGTAGTTTAGTAGAACGTTGACGTTGCCTAACCTCATGCAACCTCTAGGCTGACGAAACGATCATAACTTTTAAGAGGTTGTTGCTGATCGGTAGCGCTTTGACTTGTCATAGCTAAACAAGCTGTATACGATGTGACGCTGCTTGAACGGAACCATAAGCCTGTTTTCTGTACTTGAACATTTCGAATGCTTCGTCGTTCGTGACGAGGTGACGACAGATATGAGGCTTGTGGTTTTCTAGCATGGTTAGGCATTGCTACCTGCGATGAAATCAGTGTGCTAACAAACAATCTGTGTAAGGAAGCGACACGAGAGAGGATACATAGGCTGTGCTTGTTTTCTTCCACACTTTAATGAGACAGATGGACATCTCATGAACCGAAACTACAGAGTAGGTTTCACTTTATCTGGCCTGGGTAAGGAAATCATTCGAGTTGTAACCGTCAGTCATATGCTTGATTGCACTACTTAGATTGTCTTAAGATAGAACAATCACGAAGGCTTTATACTTGAGGCTATACAAACTACTGAACTTGCAAACCGTTTCTATTCCGAAACGATGTCACCCATTGATCGCTTGCCATGATTTTTCACTCATTCACAGGCTATTTACAATTCAACGTGACTGAAAGGTATCACAGAAGGTCGCCAGCTTAATAATCACCTGAGCGAGTCCTACCCTACACGTACCTCAATAGTCACCCCAGCTAGTGACTAGGTCTCTATATTATATTGAGTAATTTATACTATCTATTGCTTCACCTCACAGCAGGACTTCTTCCCACGGTGACCAGGTCGTATCCCTATTCACAACAGATGTAGGTCGCGTGGTAAAAGCACGTGACTGGAAAGGAAGTGGTGGGCCGGTACGGTCTCGCAAAACTCCTCCTCAATGACCCTTAAACTTGACCTGGCCCTTTCTTGACCAGCTCCGCCATCGCCCTCCCTGGTTGATCAAGCATCAATTGATCGCACCAGAAGCCACTGACTCGTTCAAAAAGAGTCAAATTGATTACCATACGCAAGCACTCGCAGCTATACTATACATCATGGCCGCCAGCAATGCCCGTGCTCCTGCTGAGGGTATGCTCTGGGGTGGGCGCTTTACAGGTAGGTAGCTCCTCGTCGACGAAGCTCCTAGATCCCGTACACTGACTGGCGTGACGAATGATAGGCGGTATCGATCCCCTGATGCACCAGTACAACGCGAGTATTTCCTAAGATAAGCTTCTCTATAAGGAGGATATTCTTGGCAACATTGCTTTTGCCCGCGCCAATGCCAGGTTAGGCATCATCTCTAATAACGAGTTCACCGAAATCGAGCGCGGTCTCCGAGAGGTGATGAAGGAGTGGGAGGCAGAGACTTTTGTTATTATGCCCAATGATGAGGACGTACGGCACTACCTCCTGGTCTAATTGAAATATCACGGCTAAAGCGATTGGACCAGATTCATACTGCGAATGAGCGACGCTTATCTGAGATCATCGGTAAAGAAATTGGCGGGAAACTCCACACTGGTCGCAGCCGAAACGAGCAGGTTGTTACCGATGTGCGAATGTGGTTGCGCGAGCGTATTCGTGAGATTGAGAGCCATCTTGTTGCCTTCCTTCAGGTTATTGCCGCCCGTGCTGAGGCTGATATGTAAGTTCTATATCACTTCTTCTAATGAGATGATTTGCTCTTATCTTTATAGCGACCATATCATGCCTGGGTACACGCATCTTCAGTTGGCCATGCCAGTTAAGTTTTCCCAATGGCTTTTGTCGTATGACTTTTCCTTTGCGGCTGATCTAGAACGTTTATGGGAGGTCTTGAAACGGGTCAACAGGAGGTAGGCACACCCACGCATAACACTGTACGCTTTATCGTCTTGCTTATATAAAATGTAGCCCACTCGGTGTCGGTGCTCTTGCCGGCAATGCCTTCGGTATCGATCGTCAAATGATGGCCAAGGAGCTAGGCTTTGAAAGCATCATGTGGAATAGCATGGGCGCAGTTGCTGACCGTGACTTTGTTACCGAATTCTTAGCTTGGGGTACCATGTTCATGGGACATATCTCAAGGTTAAGCGAGGACATGATTTTTTTTATTCCACCGCTGAACTTGGCTTTGTCACTATTTCGGATTCCTATTCAACAGGTTCATCGTTGGTGCCTCAAGCAAGTCTCCCCCTTCTACCCTTTAGAAACCTGAGCTAACATACCCGTAGAAGAAGAATCCCGACGGCCTCGAACTTTTGAGAGGTAAGGCCGGCAGGGCCTTTGGCCATTTTGCTGGTGTTTATTGTGCTACAAAGGGCATCCCTAGTACCTATAATAAGGACTTGCAATAGAGCTGGGAGCCTATGCTGGATCATGTGAAGACTATATCCGACAGTGTGCAGATCGCAAATGGCATCCTCAGTACTCTTAAGCTTCGACCTGAGCGGATGACAGCGTCGCTCAACTCTTCTCTTCTCGCCACCGACGTTGCAGACGCCCTGGTGAAAATTAGCGTGCCTTTCCGTGAGGCACACCATATTTCAGGGCGTGTGGTGGCTAAGAGCGAGGTTCTTAAGGGTATGTTAGCTTAGAGGCCGTCCAGAGAGAGGTAAAAGACTATGGTTAGAGTATAAAAATTGGGAAGGTAAGATAGTAAAGAAAATCGTTGAACTTAGAGTTGTGAACGTGAGTTGATTGAGTTAAGTGCTCTACCTATATGTGAGGTGGCTAAAAGCGAAGCTAAGTAATCTAGGGATTAGTAGAATTATTATTACCTATAGTATACAGGCTGGAGCTCTTCTCTCTTCTGAGACGAAATAAGTCTTACGTGCTCTTCTTCCTACTTAGGCATTGTTGCTACGCTGTCTACAAGTGGTATAGGGCCTAAGAATCAAGTGATAGATAGCAAGTGGCCTGCCTCGTCGCAAAATAAGTGATGAAGGAGAGAAGGGGTTGGGTGACAGCAGTCGAATAGGTAGGAAGGTGGACGAAGGATGCGCAGTCGCAGTCGCAGCCTTCTGTTTACGCAGGAACAGAGCGTCCAGCTTCATTGCGGACGTGACATAGGCAATTCAAGAGATATGCGACCTCCAGGCATCCGGGCGTCGAGAGGACTGTGTAGGGGAGGGACGCCAGAACCCGGGCTCACTAATCAATCTGCCCTCAGTGTCTTGTATCTGGCGCTTTCGACGGGATCCCGAATCATGGCGCAAGTTGCATAAGAATAGGGTACAGTGTCAACAAAAGGTCGCGTTGCTAGTCAGTAATAGCTTCATGTATAGCCCGTCGAAGAGATGGGGGGTTGAGGTGATTTAAGGTGAGCATCACTGAGCAAGGGTGATCAGAGGCTGAGCAAGAGCGGCGGCGCTGACTAACCAGGCCTGAACACGGGCGTCCTGGGCTTCGTGGCAGACTACCTAAGTAGGTACCTACTATAGGTACCTTAGGTAGGTAGGCACCGAACATGGCAGCAGGCATAATGATTTGACTCACCAAACCGACACTTTCACCGAGCATCACAACATCTCACTTCCCTCACCATGCTCTCGTCATAATGTCCTCTTCCATCCCACAAGCTTTATGGAACGCCCGGATTCCACTGCACATAACCCATCCCGCCTCACCGACAACGCCTTTCATCACTAGTATTCCGCGCTTCAGCTACCTGGCTCTTCTCATCCCGAGACTGTCGATTTTCTTCAACTCGCCCTGCTCCAGCTTCCACTTTGAAGATGTACAGTTGAGGAACCTGGCTGTGGGATTGCTTGTAGACCTGTATCAACCCCGCCTGCCGTGGAGGTTGACCGTGAATGATGGAGTAGGCTGGGATATTGCGGATACTTTTCTCAACTGCGTGAAAGAGGTGAGTTTCATATGCTGCACGAAAGTCTGCAGCCAGACAGACGTTTTTAGTGTGTATATTCGCATCGGAGATCCGGAATGTCTCATCTCGCAATACCGCAGAGCTAACTGCCTTAGGCTGACTTCATCCGCAATGGCAATGCAAACCAAATCATGAAAATGTCAAAAGACAACACCACCCAACTTTGGAACGCTGTCATAGACAATGACCAAGCGTCCTTCAACCGTATCAATAGCCATCTACTCAACGCGCCAGCAGCACTCAAACATGTCCCCATTCGCGTCTACATCCCTACCACCGCTTCGGACTCATCGTCACAAACGGCTTCCGAGCAGGCCACCTTCAAAGTCATCCAATCTCTTGTCCCAGCGACAAGTTCAGATCGCCGCCCTAAAATCCTGGGCCAGGCTCTCAAAGAGATGTTGCCAGGGCTGTTCCCAAGCAGCCGAGATCCTATTCTCGCCAAGGTGGTGATGCACGGAGCTGGGGTACCATTTGATGCACCCTTAGAGGAGCTGATGCGGGAAGCCTCATACCCCGACGGATGGATATGCCTGGTTGTTATTGTGATGTGATGGATACTGGGCTCCTTTGGCGAATAGGGCATATGGGTGGCGTTAGGGACTGTCCTTATCATCGGCTCTGCAGCGTATGTCACTGGCTTCAGAACCGTACTTGTGGCATGTTAGACTGCGTCTTTGATCCAATACTATGAACACTTGAGAATTTACTAACACATACAGGCCCAGACTCGGACATGATAAATAAACTACGTAAAGGTGATCTTCTTGCCCATAAGACTTCTATATGCATCGTCGACAGCCTTTCTCTTCTTCTGTTTAGCCTCCTCTTCCTCATGCATCTCTTCTTCCGCGGCGATATCCTCAGGCCCAGGAATTTGGGGTGCCCAAGCTCGAATTTTCCCATCCATGTGGGAGCTATATATGGCCCCAACCGCGTTGCCGCCGCCCATAACAGGACCAACCGGGCGTCCCGTCCCCGCTGACGCGCGCCAAACTATACTCGTGATCCTGTTTCTTCCCATCTCGCCCCCTCGTGGCCCTATAGGGTTCGTCACGCCAGGACTTCGGAGCCGTGTCACAACATGGCCATCATGAAGATCGAGGATAAGAATTTCCTGATCATTTGGCCAGAAGAGAAGATTATTACCACTTGTGAGATGCGCCGGAGAAACCAAAATACTTGCTGTCTTGGCGTGTTGGTTCTGAATAAGAGAGCCAAAACTGGCGAGAGTATTAGCGCCCGTGGCAGCGTCCCAAACACGAATGCGACGGTCGAGACCAGCTGAGATGATGTATTTCCCATCGTCAGTCCACTGCAAGCCATTCACTGCATCATCGTGCGCCTGTGCCGAGGTACGGAAGTGTGGGATCTGGCTTGAATCCATCCCTGCGGCACTGAGATGCTTCATTTTGTGAACGATGCCCAGTGAATCTTCCTGATCGAGCAGCGCCACAACACCACCAGAACGACGAATATCCCATATTCTGACTTTCCCATCTGCGTGGCCACTGACAAGAATATGTTCGTGGCGCGGACTCCATGCAGTTGACAAAACAGGGCCGCCATGTGCTACAAGAGCTTGTACAGCGGACCCTGATTTCAAATCCACCAGCCGAACTGCTGGGTTCTGCGTAGCACACGCCACAATAAGATGATCTGCTACAGGGCTGGTGGAGTGTGAGTAAATAGTTGCGTTCAAGTCGAAGGTGGCCGATAGAGTGCAACGCTGAGTCGCCCATAGCTTCAGTTTCTTGTCGTAAGAGCTTGTGAGAAAAGCATCCGGATCGAAAGGATAAAAGGCAACATGAGTGACACCGTGACTATGCCCAGGAGAAGACTCCTCTCTCGTAGACCTGGCGATGCTGCTCACGGGGCGGAAAGTGTGCAACTTGTTGGGGTTTCCAGCTTCTTCCAAATTCCAGACCTTGATGCCTCCTTCTGCTCCCCCAGAGAGGAGGATGCGCCCATCAAACTTCTCAAGGGCGAGTGTATTAACGCCTGCGCCATGTGCTCTTATATTGTGCACACGCTCACCTACATCTGCAGGGCTATGCTTGGACGTCCTCTCGCCATTGAAGCGGTGCTGCGGAGCCGGCGCAAAAGAATGCAGGAGTTCAGAAGTGATGGCCCGAGTAAAGTCTTCATGGCGGAGATCGCCCGTTTCACGAGCGAGAAGGTTGGACTGCATTCATTTGTGCCAGGGCGATAACGGCTTAAAGACAATATTCAGGTTTAGTAGAATCCAAAACAATGTGAAGCAGTAAACAACGGCAGTCATCTCACAATCTTGCTGCCTAGGTATGGAATGTGGTTCCAGCCTGGAGCCAGTGGTGATGTCAGCTGCAAGGCGTGCTTGTTGAACTTCAAGGAACCACTCACTAGGTACGGAGGTACTAACCTTAGGCACCTACCCTATCTCTACAGCTACTAACCTTCCCCACAATTAACTACCAACCTTTCAATCTTCACTAAGGTAGCCTCAACTTAACATTGACAACAAGCATCAAACTGTCTACCAAGCATTTCAGATTCACTATCCATTCCGGTCTGATCTTCAACCTCGCCTCACTCACCATCCTCGATGCTGCGTAATAAACAATGCTTCTGCGCGCATATCTCGAGTGTCTGAGAATCTCGATGTTTTTTTTTTTTTTCACCCTGAAACAGTAGAGAGCAACAGATCAACATCAACCTCCAACCTAGCTTTTCATTGCACATCATGGACATCTCAAAGAACAATTCACATGTAGCACCTCTAAATCAAAGTGGCGTCTCCTCCAACCGAGATCACCTGGCTACCGAGCAGGATCCTAGTAAGGGATCAAAACGCAGACATGCAACTGTCTATGATGCTGTAGCGGGTATTTTGCTCTCCTATGATCGTCCGATTTGAAGCTCACATAAACCAGGCAAAGTCTCACATGACCAAGGTCCCGTAACGGAACCGGAAGAGTTACAGTATACACCTTGTCATCCCAAAGCAATCAGATACTCCACAAAGGATATCCCTTTGGCTCCTGACGAAATTCTCTTCAGGCGGAAAGATGCACCCGTGCGTTACTTGGAGCACGACATCTACTACGCTCATGAACATGACCTTCCCGGTGGGGGACAGGGTGTCCTGCCAGATAGTGACCTCCTCAAAGCCATTCACGCTTACACCAGTGCTTTCTACAGCGTCAGAAACCTCGAGCGCCAATCTCCGGAGAGCCGAAACATTACTGAACGGAGCATGGATGAGACAGCTCTCTTGGCGTTTGGTATCCTCCTGGAGGAAGCTGGCAAGGAGGTCCTTGGTCGACGAGGCGACCTAGTCTTCACAGAGGGTGTAGATGACGGTCCTGTCGACGCATCCGAACCAGTCCAAGATGGGACCCGGCTCGTTGGGCATCACGACATCTCTTTGCGGGGACGTCCTAAGCGGAGAAAGATTGCCGAAAGTGACGTTGAATGACACGGGGTAATTCTCCAGCATTGAACGGCTGTACAGCTTGAGAGGGCGGCGTCGGTATACTATGTCTGTCCAAGCTCTCGCAAGGGGGGAGTTTGCTTGGACGACAAACCCCACCAGTGAATCCATTTTCAGATAGCATCACCTGCTGCGCCAGACAACGGGCATATATGGATGGCATTACAAGTCTGAGCTTGAAGCTCGGATCATACCAAAACTCTGACGCACGAACCGGAAAGTTGTGCACTCTGCAA